TTTGTTCTACAATTTTGAACAAAAAAAAATTATGTAAAATATACACGAGTTAGTTGAAACATTTGGTATGCAACGCGTGTAAAACAGACGATCTGTTTCTATAGTGTATCGAGCAAGGAAATCGACGTGTACAAGTGTTCAATAAAACATTCGCGACAGCTGCATTCGCAAAACATTATTCTCGGTCTTACCCGCCAAATATGCTGAGACCGTTTGGCGGGAAAACCATGGACAGGTCTTGTACAGGATGTAAAACGAGAAAACCAAGCATCTAAATGAGCCGTTTATTTTGAAAGTGGCATAAGTCACTTTGCCGTGATGAAATGTGGTGATTTTTTAACGTTTATACGAAATTATTTATACTGAGAATAATATCAGTATCCTGAGATAACAAATACAAGTAAATCTTCTCAAAAGTTAGCATCCATATTTTTAAACGTGTTAACCCTTTTGGTGCCGGAGGCCGATATATCGGCTCTTGTTGCACCGGCGAGAAGTGCCAGAGCCGATATATCGGCCCGCGCCTTATAGCGCTTTATAATAACAAAATTTTACACATTTACAATATATAAATGTAAACATAAATATTTATGTTATTATAACGAAGTATTATGCAAAATTATATCACAAATATATTTATGACAACATAATTTTGTTCCAGCAATGTTATATTACCTGTAACAATTACATATTTCGGAAGAGATAATCCGTCCGGCGCTTACCATGTACCTTCGAGTTATTTTTTATGTTTGCTATGTAATATTATTTATCTTGTTACAAAATATATCAGAAATGCAAAGTATATACTTTGTAATAAATGATCTATATAAAATTATGATGAAAAGATGACTTTTTGTATGTGCAAATACGTTTCGTAAGAGAGAACTGGACTTTTACTTTCTTCATGATCTTTTATACCTTTGTTATTTATATAATTTTCAACAAATATAGAAAGTCCAGTGTCACTGTTTTGTTCTCTATTTCGTCCTTGATTTACCGCTTTTCGAATCATGTAAATATTGTTTCTCGTTTGGTTTTTACGAGCATTTTCCCAAAGCCTAGTAAAACCGTGAAATTCGGCCGGTTATTCTCGCATAGGCACCTCTTTTTCGCATGGCACTAAAAGGATTAAATAATCGTATCTTCGCTTCCCAAATTGTCCATTTTTGCGCGCAATCTGAGCGCGAATTAGGGAGAAATTACTGTACTCGCGAGCGCGAGCGGCCGCGCGAAGCGCATTTTGCGAGGCCTGTACCTTTTCGTGGAAGTATTTTTTTTCAATTGCATAAAATGGATATTGTTCCTGGTGCTAAGTAGAATATTTTCTAGTGACGCAAACCCTTGAATATATCGAGTTAAAAACAAAGTGACTTGTGCCACTTTCAAAATAAAACGGCTCAAATATTCCTAATCGTACGAGGAACAAAAAGAAAGAAATTCCACGCAATTTAATCCATCTTTAAGTCATCGTGAAGTCGAAAATCCACGTATTAAGTCAAAGGAGGCTAGATCTCGACGTTGTAAATAACGTGAAACGGGATCATTCATTTTTGTCGACGCTTCCGCCGCTTCGCGGTAGTCAGCATTTTCGCGATACACGCTGTCCTCTGCTCGAATCACGACAGAGATATTTGCAGCACGTTCTGTGTTCCCCGGTCTCGACTCGCTCTATACGCTTCGCATGATTCGTGCCGCGTCCGCACAGTCGATACACGCTCGCGCGGCAAGAATCTTTCGGCAACGGGCGTGCATCTAGTTCGCGTGTTATTCGCGATTATACGACACGGTTACGGTTATCGGTGGCAGAGGAGTAGCTGAATAGAAACGCGGCGAAACAATTTACCGGCGGCGCGAGAGGAAGATTGAACGAGAGTCCGTGTACGTATCGCGCGCGCGGAAATCCCGGCCGTTGCGAGGGCTCCTCTCTCTCACGTGATCTCGGAATGTGTCAGAACGGCAGCACGTAAACAAACAAGTTGCGAAAGCGTGTTACAGCTGAGGAATTAGGGGCACGCACAGTTTCGCGGAAGTGAAAACAGAGAGGTTTAACGGGTCGAACGTCAATGTCGATTCGCGTGATACCTTTTAAATGTCACGAGAGGCAAAGTGAAAGAGAGAGGGGAGGGGGAGAAATGGAGCGAGGGAGCGGGAGAAAGAGAGAGCGAGGCAGCAGCGAAAGGCCGAGAGAAAGCAAGAGAGAGCGATCGAGAGAGCGCGATAAAGAGAGAGAGCGCAATAAAGAGAGAGAGAGAGAGAGAGCAATAAAGAGAGAGAGAGAAAGAGAGAGAGAGCGATAGAGAGAGAGCAATAAAGAGAGAGAGAGAAAGAGAGAGAGAGCGATAGAGAGAGAGAGCAATAGAGAGAGAGAGAGAGAGAGAGAGCGATAGAGAGAGCAATAAAGAGAGAGAGAGAGCGATAGAGAGAGAGAGAGCGAGGTTAAGAGAGAGAGAGAGCGAGAGAGCGAGGTTAAGAGAGAGAGAAGACGAGAGTAAAACGGAGAGAGAGAGATTAAGAGAGAGAGAAGACGAGAGTAAAACGGAGAGAGAGAGGTTAAGAGAGAGAGAGAGGAGACGAGAGTAAAACGGAGAGAGAAAGAATGCGAGTGAGAGTGAGAAATGGGAGAAAGAAAGAGCAAAAGAGAGGTACGGTGACAGGTGGCGCGCTTTCGAACGGGCAAGAATTCGATAGTCGAGTATCGAGACTCGAAAGAGACGGGAGGTCGAGAGACAAACAGACTCGCGCGGACCTGCAGCTTTTGCTTGTCCTCGAGTAAATGGACATCCTGATGATCGGCGCCCTCGTGGCCGGGTGGCACGTCGTTCAGGTGGGCCGCGGGGCCCTTCAAACCCATTTGCATACGAGGTGGCGCCGGTATGAGCAACTCCGGTCCCGCTTTCTGCATGTGCTGGTACACACGGTAGACACTGTTCACGGCCGCGCCGCCGGTCCCCGAGCGGAAATCCGGCAGAAAGAAGAACATACCGAAACACACGACACCGAACGACAATACACACGACACCAACAGGATCAGGTACTTTCCACGCGGACGGAACGACCGTCTCGAGAACAAGGACACCGGCACACCGTTCACGAACCGCTGATACGACGGCAGGACGCTCGACGACGCTGTCATTTTCGCGATACCGTCACACCACGCACGCACCGACGCACTTCCTGTTTTCTACAACCGACGAAAACCCGAGCACTCGTGCGCGTTGTTGCCCTTTTCCTAGCCGTCGCACGCCATTACGAATACGGTCGGCACGCGAGCACCACCTGCTCGACAAACTTGACACTTGCTCGCTGCGCGAACGCCCCGATCAGCTGGCGTGAGCTATTCGCGAACTACGTAGGCGAACCGACCGCCGGTCGAACGAACGATCGTGCGCGATGGTATCATCGCGGTCGGACCTAGCCTACAAAAATATTTGGAAAAGTATCGAGAAAAGTATGATACTGTACCGAAGACAATTATTAACTCGTATGGTATTTATTTTTATAATCTACTGGAAATAATTATTTGAAATAGTATTTTATGTGTTTAAATTTCTATTTATTGTTCGATAGGATTATTTCGTGCGATTAATATTTACGAGAGAAAGTAAATATATGGAAAAGGTACAAACACGAATTGTTTTGAAAACTGATATCAGAAAATACAGCAGGAATAACGTATTATGTTACTCGGAAACATGTGTTTATTTGATAGAAGTATTCTTACAGTATTGGAACGTTTGTTTTCAGAATCGTTCATATTTCTGGCAAATCGAAGTAGGTCCACGTGTTCAGGATTCGTCTCACGCCGAAGTGGAGCACGGATAGAGAACTGTAGCATTTTGTCTGAAAAGCGAATCGAAGTCTTTTGAAATGGAAAGGTGAAAACGTAGCAAAAAATATTATAATGCGAGGACATGGGAACAATTCTTCCAACAAGACACAGCTTGGACACGAAAGCCTCTATATCCAAATACTCGATTTAAGTTTGTTGCACTTTTTATTAACCTTTTAGGCACGACGCGCCATCGAGTACGGCTGACGCGAGGCGGCCCAGCCAACCAGCGCACGAAGCCCAGTTCCGCTCATTGGCTCGATCGCCTCGCGCCAGCCGAGCTCGCCTCTCATTGGTCACTGTTTTTCGTTAATAACTCGTTAGCGGTGCCTCGGAGAAAATTTTTGTAAAGGAAAAAGTTGCTTCAAATGGCCCGAGGAACCCGCCACTTTCGGATTGCGAGACATTTTTGGGACACACTGTCAGTATCAGACTCTGTACAGTACACATCAGACTCTGCCGTCCAAAGAAATAGCCTCGCGCAGAATTCAGCCGTATCTAAAAGGTTAAGATTCAACAAAGTACGATTATTCGAGCCTAATTAATACTCGAGTAACTATAAAAACGAACCGCCAGCCTCGAATAATCGTGTCTCCTCTTCCCAGATTGTCCATCATGGTTTACAAACTGAAGGAAAATTCGGGAGAATTTATTGTACTTTGCCCTAAATAATCGATTACTATTTTACTGTGATAGCAGCTAGCGTTCTCGCCTTGGAAGATAAAGTCTGCAGAATTTACTGTATCTGCAAAAGAGTTCTGGATGGAATACCTCGGACTAACGCAAGCTCATTTGCGCTAAATACATTTGGGAATTTGTAGGTTGTAACTTGTGATGCGTGTTGCTTCTGCAAGCTGATCTTTTGTAAACACTATATACCGCTGCAACAGTTGCTCCCGTAAATTCTACTACACCGAGCAAAGTAGAGTAAAATAAGAAAAGGACGAGCTCATCATCTGAAACAAAAGCTTGTTACAGCTGCGGCATGGTATGCGTTTCGCTACGTGTTTTGTATACATGTGTCGGGGTCAGTTTACCATCGTAAAGCCTTCGTAACACGGAGTGAACAAACCGGCAAGATTGAACGCTACGTCCGACCGACTTCTCATCAATGAGAATAACACCAGCTTTTGCATCTTTGCTGGTATACGGTACCATAACGAATTGTATCTGATTCATTCAACGCCGTTATTATTACCTTTTTATTTATTCATTATATGTAATATATATACATACATACAATGATATATTACACATATATCATCGTTTATTTGAATATATATTCTACTCTAATAT